ATACCTTACAACCCTTGTGCTTCCCCCGCAGAAATTCCGATATTGAATTAAAATAAAGGTGGAGTGTTTGTAGTCCAAACAGAGATAAGCTACGTTTATGACTAAGCCCCACCTAACAGCAAGCATCCCCTCCCTAATCTGGCCAAGGCAACCCCCCGGTCTCGCCCCTCCTCCGCCTTTTGCATCTCACAACTAACACCTTCCTTACCTTTGCTTTGTATCACGAACATCCTCGTCATTTTTTAAGACCCAACCACATCGCGGAAGCCGTCAGCATGATCTGATCACACCACCGAAGCACTCGTGGCGGCTCTCATTCCACTTCAAGATGCAGTCTGGTTAATGGTACGGATAACACAACTTCCGATTCGCCTTGGGCAATGCAGTGACCATTCTCGGCGTGATGTTGAGCGTCCAGGAAAGCCCAACTGCAAACCCTGGCCGCCTTGTCCGGCACAGGGCGTCAAGGTAATGTCGCTTTTGCGCAGTAGGTGGCGCGAACTAGCATTTGCATAATCAGTCATTCAACCCCTGCTGCTCGTCGCCCCATTCATCATCGCTGCCCTCCTTGTCGTTCGCAAGAGGCTGGAATTAAGCTGCACAAAACACGCCGTCTAGCATTCGAGAGAACAAACCACGCAAAATGCCCCCCAGGTTGATCCGTCGGGGGTGAATTGCCGTCATTGGAACCCCGCCTCGTGCTTTCATGGTATTCGACCCGCTTTGGATTATCAAACGAATGCTACCGCGGCTCCTGTAAGCTGTCTTCAATGCAGCGTGACGCAACTTGCCGCACCCGCCTTCGACATCGGCTCCAAACGTCCTCAGGAGCCCGTACCAATTTTCGATGAACAAGGCCCGGGGATCAAAGCCAAGACGTTACAGCTAGCCAGGTTGTCAATGGCTCTGTTCCGGCAAAAGCAGTCTACCAGGTTCCATTTTCCCCGCCATCTGACAAGCCTTCCTCCTCCCACCAGCTAGGATCTCAGCGTATCATCAAGCGCAAAGCCCACCACAACCTGCCAAAATAAGCTCGTGGCATTCAGCGTGCCAATAACTGGTTTCGGAACGGCGCGATACAATGCTCAACTAAGATCTTACCCCGAAAGTGCAATCTTGCCTTCGAACACGGCCATTTCGGAATTTCATCCAACAGAGGAATGGTGACACATTGTTCATACACGACCGTTCAAGATTAGAGACATCGAACATTCAGGCTTAATGCTTGTACCAGCGGCTCACGCAGTGTCAAGTAGCTCTAGAGACCGACAAAAATAAACGCCCTTTAAATTCTATTGACATGGCAGCCTGGTCTGGGGTTGCGGGAAGCTGCTCCATCTACGGTCTCCTCTGCAGTACCCTACCGCCGCCCTGGTTGCCTTTTAAAAGTGGAGAATGCCACCAGACTGGGAACGAGTCAGAGGGTCAAATCACTGGTGGCGGCGGTTTGCGGCATCAATTGGGTTGGAGATTCCAAGGGGGCAATGGGGCACGCAATTACCAACCGTTCACCAGCACTGTTCTTGGAGGATAGCTTGCTCCCAGGAACCTGGATCCGCAACGCTTGTCTTCTCTCCCATGACAAAACCTAATCTCAGTAAGGGAGCTGTGCTCCTCCTTACAGATGCACCGTCACAGACCATTTCCGGGCCTTAACTGTGGAAAGTTTGTGAGCTACCAAACTATCCTGAATATCAAACTCTAAGTCATAAGGCCGAGCAGGTTTTCACATGAGTTGTGTCGCGCTTACTCCTAATGGATCTTTTAGGAGCGACTGAGCAAGCGTTTTTCGGTTTCATTACCATTGGCTTGGGTACAACACCTCACCCACCAATCTAGCAGAGAGGTCTCGTTTCTTGTCATTCAATCCACCCGCTCTAATCCCATCCCTCTCAGCTCAAGCTTGAAACGACCCACTGCAATGGGTCCTTTCTATAATGATCTTGAGCGTTCGCATTGTGCTGCATTGGTCTGAAAGATATACGAAAACCAATATGCTGGTCATCGTCTCGCCTGGCTGAACCGGCTTCCGCGGCTCCCATTTTGGGCCTTCCGCCGACCAGTTGAAACCTCACATCAGAGCTTCTGCTACCGTCTGGCATCCGACATGTTGGTCGACCAGTCACTATCGGGTCTAAACGGAGATGGAGACAGAGCTCATGAAACGGGTTTCCACCGTGAACTCCTCCGACCCCACGTGTGTCTGATATACTTCCCCCCTGCTTCAATTCTCTGGCCACTTTTCATGTACGCTTTGTCCCTCAATTCCCAGAGGACTGGTCGGTAAGCAGGCATATGGCATCTTCAGTGGAAACCAAAAGGCCGTGAGCTCAGAAGACTCGAGACCAACAGCTACTGCATGATGATGGCCTTCAAAGCGAGCGGCAAGCTTGGGCCGCGGATGTGCCTGAATTACACTTGTCAACCCCCCTCCTACCGCACCGTTGCCTCACGTCATGCAGGCCAGAACTACATACTCCCATCATCGCCCATCCGTGCCCCCCTCTCGTTCTTCCGATTATCTGGCTGACGTACCCAACACCCAGCGAAGCATGATGACCACAAGACGAACATCTGAGCCTGGCCATACCTATTTGAGTAATTTTTTCAATTGTTCAGCCTCAGCCAGCCGCTTGGCGTCTGATTCATCAGCCTTTGTAAGTCATCGCCTCAAGAGACGCGTACTCATGGCTCTACAGCCCCAGGATTCTGCAACACAGAATTCCATAGACTCTGGCATACCCGGCACACGGTAGTTTCTTGGGATTCCCTTCGTTCCTTGTACCCTATGTCCCTTCTTCTCAGGCTGTAAAACAACCTCAGACATTCATTAATGCTGGGATTCTTACCGTAACCGGAAGTTGTACCCTGAACCTGCGTCGGAGAATATTCTACTTTGATACCTTGATGCCCTGCCTGGCGACTAATGGCTTATTTTTCCTTCTCCCATCTGAGCCCCCGCCTTCCCGCCATCGGCTAGTATGTTTAGAAACCGCTGAACAAACCTGACGAGACGGGCGGTAGACATCATTGGACAACAAGCAAGTCAGAGGCAAGCCTGACTGCCGCATGAGATAAGCCCCAATTCCTCACGTCCTTCCGGACATCTCCAAACCGTCCGTGCTTCTATGATCCGTCACGTCAGCCACAGGTCACAAAGCCATGGTGAGGTTCTAGGCTGCGCGAGAGCGGGAAGGCAAATGTAATATCGAGACGCCGTTCAAACGCCAGACGAGGAATCGCCCATAGAGAAGGGGGGGCGCATAGCACGACAACAAGAAAAGAAAAGAAAAGAGGATCTCAGAGACCACAAACTGGCGAATGGGTGGGCGAGGCACGGAAACCGGAACAGATGTTAGCTGCCTGGGGCGAAAACCAGCTCGGTACTGGCCGAAGGATAGGTGGGATAGTCGGCAAGGCTAATGCAACCACCTCGACAGGAGTATGCAGCCTCTTTGACAAAAACGCACGTGGGGGGAGGGGTGGGGAGTTCACCACTACCGCCGTCCAACCCTTTCACACACACACATACACACACTCTCTCTCTGGTTTCCGTACTACTGTCTACTAATGGGAGGAACTCGGAAAAAGGAAAGGGAAAAAAAAAAAAACTCACGCTCGGAGTTAAGCAGACCAGCAAGCTCACGGAAACTGGGGAGGAGGTGGTGGTTCGCGAATCGATCGGAGTTGCGTCAGATCCACCGTTTTCGATGTTTGCGCGTACATGTGTAGTGTAGTATAGTATAGTATGTATGCATGCCATGTTTGGAAATGAGCGGTCCTTTTGGTTACGTCCAAAGCACGCATGATGACATCTTTCCCATCTTCATCTATCTCGTCTCGTTTGAGTGTGGTCTCTCTTTTTTTTTTTTTTCCCCTTCCCTTTCGTTATTTCCGTATCATTGCTTAACCTTGCATGAAATTGGTAGTATTTATTTTTATTTGTTTGCCGCTGTCTGTCTGTTACGAACATGTTTCCGCCAAGCCAAAGGACGCTTTGTCTTCCCCCCCTCCCCCCTCCCCCCATGTTTCTCCTTTCCACTCAATTCTTTCCAAAAAGCGCTCGTCCGAGAGGCTCCGACGGCGCATAAATCTCGAATTTTTTTTGGGGATATTACGAGCCCTTCCGATGAACCGGGACCCCTTCCCTTTTTTGAAAGCCAATCGCCATGGCATGATTGTGGTTCGTGTGGTTGGCGTGTAAGAGAGGAGGGGGGGTTTGGAGTAAGAGCGAAAAGAAAAAAAAAAATAGAATGATGGACGGATTTGACCCGTCCAAAGTAAAACAAAGTAGGATTAAAAAATAAAATAAAAAAAAAAAAAAATGCATCCGAAGATTTCATTCTTTTCCAAATATCCTCGGAGAGATGAAGATGAAGTGAAGAGAGAAAAATAAAAATCTGTTTTCCCCTTGATGTCTGATTTGAATAATGTAACCGTGCGCAACACCCTTATTGTGTGCTTTTCTCATGTGTTCCTCTAATGTTTTGCCAATATAATATAGTGAGTGAATTTGCAAGTTGAATGATTTGCTCACGCCTAAAAGCATGTATGCGTATCGTCTTTCCTTTGAAGAGAGAGAAAAAAAAAGTATCCCCATATTTTGTCGAGTCCGCTAGGAAGAAGAAAAAATATTGAATCAACGCCATCCCCTGAAGTAAAATGTACAGATATTCAGTCAGTAGTTTCCGAATGTTGTCCCATTTGCCACCACCCTGCCGCCATAGATACTCCATGTTGTAGTAGTAGTAGTAGGTAGTGAAATGCTCATGTCAGTCGTATAGAGAGCTAGACGCTTCCTTTCCCGCCCATCTTCTTCCTTTGCCTCCTTCGAGCCTCAGCCTCTTGAATCCCACTGGAGGATCGATAAGCTCTCCCATCCTCCCCATTTCGGCTTTTGCTTTTTTTTCTCTTTTTTTTGGCATTGCTTATATCTTTTTCTTTTTTAGTTTAGACTTGTCCAGCTAGTTGCTTGTTGCTGCGACCCAGCCAGGGTGTAACTAAGCATAGCTCATGTCACCCTTGCGGTGGCTGACAACCTCGAGTGTGGTGCCAAGGTTGTGACCCAAGTAGCCAATCATGGCTTTGCTGACTTCTGGGTCTTCCGAGAGATCGGCACACACCTCACGGAATTGGGCGTATACCTCTTCCAATTTTCGAAGCTCACGGTTCAGGATCTCGAGCTCGAGCCACCTGCCGTCTTCGCCGCCCAGTGTGTACGCTCCAAGACTGACTCCAAGCCCGCCATTGGGGCTGAGCTGGGCCGGGACCATTCCGTTTTCAAAGTAAGTGTGGCTGGCGTTCTTGTAAAAGCTGGTGATCTTGCCGATGACGGTGGCCAGGAGCATTGCGGCCGTGTGGGTGCCCGAACGGCTCATGCATCTTGAACACGAAAGCATCGCAGCGCACCCTTCGACAGCTTTGCGGTTCAGGGAGAGCACCAGGTCGAATGGCGGCGCTGAAGGCGAAGAGGCATTGTGCAGAGCTTGCAGCGACTGTAAGCAGACGGTGAAGCAGGTGCAGGACCCACCTCCTCCTGATGATGAGGACTTATGCCTGACGGCAGGTCGCATGTTGGGTGTAGTAGAAGGGCTTGGGAAGTATGCTGCTGCTGCCATACTGTTCGGCGTAGGCATTGTGGTATAGTGCATCATGTCGTGCGGTGCTGCTTCTCCCCAAGGCGTCATGTGGGCGGACATGGCCATGTCCATAGATTGTGAGCGCCCATGGTGAGGCGCCATGTGCGCGGTGGCCATCGTCATGTCCTGGTAAGGAGCAGCTGAGAAGTCGGTAGGGGGTGTCCAAGGCATCGCGCCTCCATACATATCGGCGGTTGGGTCATGATCTCTGGGTGTTGTGTCGTCGACGCCCAGAAGAGCGAGCCCAGAGGAGATGGAGGGGTTTCTGGTCATGGCACCCTCCATGCTTGTGGGGGTGTGCCACCCAGTCTCCATCTTGTACATACCTGCACCTGGGTGCTGGCTGAACATAAGGTTCTTGTCGTCCATGATGGGAGAAAGGTCGGTCATGTCCATGTGGACAGTGTTGGCGTGACTCGGTGCGCTGTTGTCAGATTTGGGCTTGCCGGCTCTGCTCGAGGGGGAATATCTGCATTCGAGGCCACACGCGAGGCATCTGGAGCAGATGGGCCGCGCCTTGGAGCATTTGACCTTGGCGAGAAAGCAACCGTCGCAAGAGGCCCGGAGGCGAGGTTGTCGGGGCTTTGAGCTTGAAGACATTGTTGATTAAAGGCGAGTATCTCTCGGTTGTTGGAGGAAGAACTCTGAAGAGACTGAAAGGGAAGGGTATCTTTGGTCTAACGAAGAATTACAAAGTCCAGCGGATGAAGTGACGGCTGAGGGGCAAGCCACTATTAAAGAAAAGGGACCCGGAAACAGAATCTATTAAAGTTCTGGAGACTGGTGGTGCGAGTAAGACGTCTGTGTGATGATTGAGGGAGGATAAGGCGGAGCAGGATTAGCAAGCACTATCCAGACTTTTGTGCAAGGGTGCGATGAAGTGCGGGAAGAGCCCCGAGGGCCACGGATGAAGAGCAGGGGTAAGAAGAGTGAGCGGATTCTAGCCGGCTGCTGCGAGGTAGACAGACGACGACAAAGATGGAAAAAACGGGGTCACGAAACAGGAACAGAAACGGTCACGGCCATTACCCAGAGTCCAAGAGGGACGAGCATGGAGTGAGAGTCCGGGTGTTTCTGGAGGAAGGGACGAGAGGAGGAGCTTGTGAGAGCGAGAGGGTATGTGACGCGGACAAGAAGGAGCGGAAGTTGAACGGTTAAAAAGCGAAGGCCTGATTTAGATATGCTATGCTGTTGGCTTATACAGAGCGAGGGAGGTACAAGCCCATGTACATGTGGGCTGTGACTTTTGAGTGAGAGGGCGTGGGTAGAAGGACTAGGGCAGATCTGGTGGTCCACTGTGGAGGGGGGCCAGACATACACGTACATACACATACATACATATACACAACACACACACACACCAAAAAAGAGACAGAGTGAGAGGAAGAGTGTGTGAGGGCGCGAGAGAGAAAGAGAGAGAGAGAGAGGATGGCCTGACATAAGGTGTGTGCCTATGTGTGCCATTGTCAGTAGTCCCAGTCCAGTTTGGGGTGAGTGTGTCTTGCGGACGAGCTCTGTGTAGGAACGAGAATTGACGGGAACCAGTTTGAGGGAAAAAGAAAAGAGCCATGTGCTGGCCTGGCAGGTAAGGTAAGGCAAGGTACCCCTCCACTTGATCTTGGGTGTGATAGACATTGGCGGGCACCCTCGCAGAGACCCTAGACTTTCAAGTTCAAGGGCATTGGATAGGTCTCTGTTCTGCGCAGGCCATAGCACGCCCAATCCGCTCGGACGAAGTGACTTGGCCGGGAGAAACAGGTAGAGGGAGAATGGACTTGGCAGCTAGCCAGCAGCGCAGCGCAGCACGGAGGCAAAACAGAACAAAATAGGCCAGGTCAAGGCCAGATGAAGCCTTGACTTGGGTATGCAAGCAACGGAGGTGGCACTCGTCTTGGTCGGTGTAAGAGGAGAATGGAGACGTGGAGGCGGTGGAAGACATTGAAATGCATTTTGAGGAAGTGAAGAGATGATGGACCTCGTTTCTTGCCGTTTACAGGTTTCTCGATTTCTCCACATGACTTTGATTATAGCAAAAGAGTTGCCGGCAGCGGAATGAACTGGAGATCCCCATCCCAAAATCCTGAATCTCAAAGTGGGATGGGCGGGCGAATGACGAAGACTTTTCGCATCCGTCAGACCACCAGACAACCACGGCTGGGCAAAGGGAGACGGCAGCGACGGTTGGTTTGTGCTGAGAGCTGAACCTGAGGACTGCACAGCGCCATCGTGCGCTGTACTTTGCATCGCTGTTACTGATAGTAACTGAAAAGATGGTGATAATGGACGGGGAGGAGGGACTGGTGGTGCGTGCTGGAGAGGGGGGGGAAGCTGAAGCTGGGACCCAGCACAGAGACAGGAACGGGGAACCCTGCTCGAGGATTAAGGCAAAGACGTGGGACGGTAGAAACGGTTCGTTCCAAGTCGGCGTGAGAAAAAGTAAAATGGATGGAGACGGGGAGCTGGGGCAAGGGAGCAGGGCAGAAGGTGAAAACGCTGGACAGGGTGGGTTATGCATCCAGTTCGTCTGCTTACCAGGTTCAGGCACAGTAAATGTACATTGGACGTATAGTAAAGCCTGCTAAGGCACGCAGACGACGATACGGTAACTAAGGCAAGGCGAGGCAGAGCAAGGCCGTAACAGCTCAGACACATCTGTGGGCAGCGAGAGCTCGAGCAGACCCAAGGACAAGGTCAGAGCCAGAGCCAGAGCCGGTCCAGTGGGAAAAAATGGAGGGGGATTGGGAAGCAAGCCGAGTGTAAGGAAAGGATTGGATCCAGTGGAGGTTCCTCTTCGGGGAGCAGGAGAAAGCAGCGGGCCACTGGGATTGGTTAGACGAGAAATATGGAAGACGATACTGGGGCTGCCGGGCAAAGGAAGGCCAGAACAGGCCGCGTGGTGGATGGGCTCGGCCGATTCGAACAGACCAGGCGTTGGTCCGAGGACGAATGCGTGTGCGAGGTTGAACTTGACGACGGAGAGAGAGAGCATGGACAAGGTGAGGGGAACGGACGGCAAGATACGGACGGTATGGTTAAGTGATTGGCTCATTGACCAGGTGCCGATTTCGGTACGAAGACAGTCGAATTCTGTTCTTGTTGGTCGATTGACATTGTTACAGCGGGGAGAGATGGGACAAGCCAAGGCGATCTGTATGTCTCTGGGGTAAAAAAGAAGTGGCAGAGGAGAGATGAGAATTGAGGTGGGATAAGTGGGATTAGTGAGATGGAAGCCAGGCTAAGACGTGTAAGAGGCACGGCAAAGGCAAGGTTAGGTGACAATTGGAAGCCAAAGTGGACATGGATTGGAGCCGGGCAGAAAAGCAGACCAAGACATGAGAGAGAGGGACGGGAAGGTTGGTTGGCATACGGACGGGGCGGGCGCGATACGTACCTTACACTACCACACCCAGGAGGCTATTTACCAAGCTGAGGGCCCTAACAACTCATTAGGTAAGGAAGGCGAGGTGGAGATGGGGTGGGTGAGGTGTGAAGTGGAAGACAACGGACAGGGGCAGCCGTCAGCTAGGCACAGAGAGTACGTACCTCGGTGTGAGAAGGTGCTTGCCTCGAACCAAGAGAAGGCCTAAGAGGAAATGGAAGGCAGCAAAAAACAAACGAGACACGAACCAATCGATAGGGTAAGACAGAGTACGTACTCAAGCTCTGCGGATCCATATCATGTGACTTAGGAACGAGCAAGCTATTGTTGCTGCTGCTGCTGCTGCTGCTACTCCTTCTGTTTGCTCTGCAACTATGCAGGTCCTACTATCCACTGGCCACTGCCACTTGCTATCCGCCCCGATGCTCATTGGTTTGCGCTGTATGGATAGATACGCGACCTGTGCAGTTCCCTCCCCCTCAGCTGCACCTGCAATACGGCCTCACAAGTGGTTATCTCACACACTGTGAAGTCCCATCAAGCCGACCTACGTACGGATACTCTCTGCAGATAGTATCAGCAATCCAAAAACGGAATAGCCATCAAGTAATGGGGACGTGGCTGCACGACACGACATGGGGTGCACTAGACCCCTGCTTTTGCAGCTTCCGTGAACAGGGGGCCCCGGCACGGGTGGGAGCCTGGATGAGATCCCCTTTCCTCCCTGGATGGGGTGGGCCCACTTTAGACCCGTTACGTACTCGAGGTACCGAAGGCCACTTTAATTTTTATTTTTGTTTCTTAATCTTCCTCTTTGCCTCCGCTTGAACTGTTGCTCTCTGCTATCCACCGCTCAGCTAAGGGCGGTTCGAGGGCCACCAGCTTGCGTCTAACTTCCCACAGCAACTGACCAGGGTAGCCGACAAGCGTATCAACCAGTGAACTCCCAGTCAGAATTGCCATATTTTCCCATCATGACCCCATCGAAACCCCGGTTAGCACTGACTCTAGTGCCAGCCATGGCAATGCATCTAAGCGATGGCACCTCGTCTTCAGGAGAAGGAAGGCCGCCCTGGCCTGGATAGCGAAAGCAAAAGAAGCACCACTCAGCCATCGACCAAACAAAATAGTAGAATATGCGGCGCAGCGGAGCCTACATAGGCTACTTGGCTACTGTACCCATCATATATCGGGCACATCGTTGTACCGCTCCTCAGGGAATCTCGTCCACGACAGGACGTGCAGCAAGCTGCACTGCGTATGCGCAAGGTCAGTCAAGATGCGCTATCCCACCTTGCATTAAAAGTATGCGAAATCAAACTGCCACCGCGCGGCTACCTCAGCTTCCGATTGATTCCCTCTTTTTGTTCAATTTGCTCAGAGAGGAGGTATAGATCTCAAGCCACGAAGAAGGACAAAGCCATTGTTCCTTTTGTTCCAGTGTCGGATCCCAAACCCCATCAAACAACCAGCGACATGTCTGAGGTGTAATATCTTAGTTTCGATGGCACATCTGCGTCTGCATGTGGCTCGCTTCCCTGGCCTGGTCTGGCCTGGTCTGCCCAGTGCTTGCCCAGCACCTTTGTTTAACTTAAGGTATACGAAGACTAGGGTCGACGATAACAATGCAACGGTCCATCGTATCCGCACCGATGGCCACACTATCGCAATCAAGGTATCTACCCGACTGGGCGATGCCTGAGATGAAGCAAAGACATCTGGCTTCGGGACAATAGGCAAACAAGCACCAACAGAGTTGGCTCAAAGGTTACTGAGCTGCGTCTTGAATTGGACCGAGTCCCAGTTT